ACAATTAACTGCTTCTGAAGCCTATGTCTTCCTGAAAATGAGCCATTTTCTATGGACCCTTCCTTTCTGCCCATAATCTGCTAGAACTTTGTTATTATCTTATGTTTTACAGATGCACACTCAACACTATTATCAAAATGTCATCAACTGATGGAAAAAGTGTGTGTTTGTGTCTTAAAGTGGCAGCAATCTAATTCCTTTCCAGAAATACCACCATGATTCCTATGAAACCTGTAATTTATCTTAAAGATACTTATAATATCAGAATGCTTACGCTCCTTTCAGTATTTCTACATTCCCATCATGGTGGGAAAGGAGAGCTAGTGGCACAGTTGTTAGAGCTTGGCTGCTAACTGAAAGTTTGGTAGTTTGAACCCACCAGCTGCTCTGTGAGAAAAAGATGAGACAGCCTGCTCCCATAAAGATTACAGCATTGGAAACCCTATGGGGCAGTTTTACACTGTCTTATAGCAACACTCTGAGTTAGAACTGACTTGATGGCAACAAATTTGGTATTTGTAATTCACTATGTGCCAGCTTACTATATGCCTCACTATCAAACCTCACTAGACTATCATTCATGTTATTCAAACTAAAGGGAGATAGAGTAGAGAGAAGTGAAGTGTATGTACATTTTTTTAAAAATATAAGTGGTGAGATCAGATAGATAGATAGATACGAAGACAATGGAGGGTTTAAACTGTTAATGCATTCAGCTCTGTTGCTAACCAAAAGGTTGGAGGCTTGAGTCCACTTAGAGGTGCCCAGCAGATAGGCCTGACTACTATATATATATATTTATAGCATAGCTGGCTATACTATATATACACACACATATACACACACGTATATACTCCCTGTAGCAGTACCAGTTGCCATCGAGTTAGTTCTGACTCATGGCAAACCTGTGTGTCAGAGTGTAAATGTGCTCTGACTTGATGGCACATAACAACAAATATTATATATATATATATATGCTCACCAGAAGCCTGGCGGTTCAAACCCACCAGCCACTCCTCGGAAGGAAAGTTGGGCAATCCTACTTCCGTAGTGATACAGCCTTGGAAACCCAAGGAGGGGTGGCTATGAGTCAGGGCTGACTCGACGGCACATAACAACAACAAATATATATATATATATATATATATATAAAATTTCCAAAACTCACTGCCATCGAGTCATTTCTGACTCACAGCAACCCCCATAGGTTTTCCAAGGTTGTAAATATTTACAAAAGTAGATTGCCTCATCTTCCTCCCATGAAGCTGCTGGTGGGTTTGAATTGCCCATTTTAGGGTTAGCAGCCAAATGCCTTACCAACTGCACCACCAGAGCTTGAAGGAAGATTGTGCAATCTACACAACTTCAGAAACCCAAGGAGAGGTCACTATGAGTCAGATCCAACTCAAAGGCAGTGAGGTTTGTTTTTTTTTATAATATATACATATTTTAATATTTATGTATGTGTGCATATATGTATACATGTGTGTATATATATGTATATATATGTGTATATCTATGTATATGTGTGTATATGTATGTATATAAATGTGTGTGTATAAGTATGTATGTAAAATACATTACATACATATGTATGTATGTAAAATGCATTTATATTAAATGTGTGTGTGTATATATATATATGTGTGTGTGTGTGTGTGTGTATCACTACCATGAAGTTGCTTCCAATGCCTAGCAACCCACATTGACTTTCTGAGGCTGTAAATTATAAATCTTTACAAAAGTAGATTGCTCCATCTTCCTTCCATGGAGTGGCTGGAGGGTTTGGCAGCAAAATGCCTCATCTACTATGCCACCAGAGCTCCACAGATACACAGATAGATAGATATACATACATATGTGTGTGTGTATGTGTGTGTGTCTTCATCTAACTGGTCACCAAAATAAATCTGAATTTCAAATGTACAGCATACAAATTCATAAAATTAACTTCTTTTCCAACATATTATTTTATACATATACAGGAGCTCTGGTAGCATAGTGTCTAAGGCACTTGACTGCTAACCAGAAGGCTGGTGGTTCAAACCCACTAGCCACTCCTCGGAAGGAAGATGGGGCAATCTACTTCC